TCTACCCACTAAAATGCCAGTAGCATGGTGAAAACAAACAAAAAAAAAGTTTCCATCATTGTTCCCTCTCACATTGAGAACAATTAATTTACACTAATTATTGGGCAATTGTTAATTGTTTAGCTAGATGACTGCGTACTTGGAAGAGATGAGACTGAGAAGGGGTAGCAAGTAATTCTGGGAAAGCAGTATATTCAATGTACCTCACAGAATATGCGCAGGTGGTGAGCATGTTTGTGTCCCATGCTCGCCAAAGTACATGCACTCTAGAAGAGCCCCTGAGTAACTCAGTGGAAAAGATAGATGCCTATCAATTTTCCTATGTGACCACCTCAAAGTTTGCTCAATGGACTAACGAATAATCACATTTATACGGTAGTGAGATGAAGGTTTTATATGTGTTTTATTTCTCAATAAGCTTTATGTGGAATAAGTGTCCAACTGTTCAAGAACAAATACCAAAAATGTTACTAATAAATCACAATTCCCTGGGGACTGTAACCAGCCAATCAATGGTGAGAAAAAAACTGGACCCTTCTGATAATAAATGAAGTTGTTATTTGTCCTGGAATAGACACATAATCTGGATATAGATGTGCTTTACCTTTCTCTCTCCCTCCTCTTAAACTTTCTTTATGATTGTTTCTTGAGCTATTCTGTACTTCATTGTCCATCTAATAATGCTCCAATGTGTGTATTGTTGCATAGAACATAATTTATCGCCATTGTTAAGGCAGATGTTCATGGGATTTACTGAACTCACCATGTCCCTACAATTCAGAAGTTGTTGTCCCTATAGAACATTGTGATATCTATTAACGTACCTTTTATAATGTTAACTTGAGTTTCAGTAATGTCGCAAAAAATACGATATATGCTCTGATCCAGGGGAAATTTTATGTCATTATTTTTCTCTTAGTTAGACAAAAAAAAGAGTGGGTATATAGATGGTATACATATTTTTTTTTTTTTTTTTTTTTTTTGAGACGGAGTCTTGCTCTGTCACCCAGGCTGGAGTGCAGTGGCCGGATCTCAGCTCACTGCAAGCTCCTCCTCTCGGGTTCACGCCATTCTCCTGCCTCAGCCTCCCGAGTAGCTGGGACTACAGGCACCCGCCACTTCGCCCGGCTAGTTTTTTGTATTTTTTAGTAGAGACGGGGTTTCACCGTATTAGCCAGGATGGTCTCGATCTCCTGACCTCATGATCCGCCCGTCTCGGCCTCCCAAAGTGCTGGGATACGTATTTTGTTAGATTTATACCAAAGTACTTCACGTTGTTTAGTGCTGTTAAAAATGGTATTTTATTTTTTGTTTCAAATTCCAGTTGTCTATCAAAGGTATATAGAACAGCAACAATGTTTTGTACATTAAACTGGTATGTTACAACGTTGTAGCAACAGCTTATTCATGTCTGAATTTTCTTTTGGTCAATTGTTGGGGAATTTTTTACATAGACAATCATGTTATCTATGAACATAGATAGTTTTATTTCTTCCATCTCAAACTGTATAACTTTCATTTTCTTTTTTGTCTTGTTGCATTAGTCAGGATTTTAGCAAAATGTTGAATAGGAGACATGAGAGGTGACATACTAGCCTTGTTTCCAGTCATAGGCTGATAGAATGTAGCTTCTCTCTACTGGATATGATGTTAACTCTACTTTTTAAAAATATATTCCTTGTTGATTTGAATAAATCCTCCACTATTTCTAATATGCTACGAATTTTTTTCATGAAAAAATGTGTTGGATCTTGTCAAACACTTTTTCTGCATAGATGGATATCATCCAATGATTTTTTTGTTAGCCTGTTGATGTGGTAAATTACATTATTTTATAATATTTTCAAGTACTGACACAGCCTTGAAAAGTTGAAATACATCTTATGTAGTTGTGGCATACATTATACATAGTTCTTTATATACCTTCTTAGATTTGCTGTAGTAATAATTACTTGACAATGTTTACATCTGTCTTTCTCTGCTTTTAATTTGTTTTATTTAGACCATATATATTTCAAGTGATTGTTGAAATAGTTAGAGTAATATCTACCATATTTGTACTCCTTATTAAAGTGGGACTTGTTTGGTTCTTTTCATATCTTCCTCTCTTTACTTGCCTTCTGTGGTGTGAATTGAGTACTTTATGTGATACCATTTTACCTTCTCTTAGGATATCAGTAATATTTTCTTTAAAAATTTTTATAGTGAGTACTCTTAAATGTTTTTTATTTTTAAATTTCAACCAGTTATACTTGATTCTCTATGGAGAAAGTCCACAGGACTCCTTGTATTGTTATTCTTAAAGTGCTTCTGTTCTGTTCAGGTGTTGATTTGATTTAAATTTGATAAAATTGAAACTGAACTTTTATGTCAACTTAGGAAGAATTGACTGCCTAACTAAATTAACTCTTTGAATCCGTGAGCATTAAATACCTTCCTGAGTATTTAAATGTTTTTTAATAATGTTTCTTAACTTGCCTTATACAGGTTTTTAAAATTTCATTAGCCATGTTTTGAAGGATTTTTTATTCCATTATAAATGGAATAAGGCAGCACTATAGAATATGTTATGGTGAACAAATGTTCTTAGTGTTAGTAGGAGATGGGATACATGAGAAAATGAATTTATCGAAACTAAACAATGCAATTAAGATCTGTGTATTTTAGCTTATTTAATGTACGGGCTCCCAGTCATAGGTTATTTTGTCTCAAGGAATATTTAGCACGGTGTGAAATCATTCTTGTTTTTAACACCAGTGCAGAGGTGATAATGGCTCTGTGAGTAAAATCCATGGATGCTGCTGGACATTCTAAAACTCCTAAAACAGGTCCCATGTAACAAATAATTCTCCAGCCTAAAAGAGCAATGATGCTGCTGTTGAGAAACTCTTACATAAAGTGCATGTGACTTTTAAAAATTACATTTGTAAAATTAAAAAAAAACATTGTTTAGTAACTCAGAGGACAACTTAGTAGACAATTTAGTATCTAAGAGTAAGTCAGGGTATTAACATAAATGTTAGTATACTTTGACAGTATCAATGTATAAATTTTCTGAGAAGAGTTATATTTCACTGAACAAAAAATAAAATGCTTATTATGTAAAGGTAAATATGAAAATTTCAACAAATATTATAAATTGAGAAGGGATGCAAAAGCGATATCATTTTGAAACAATAGCATGCTGTTCCACAAAAGCTACTCAACTATTAAATCAGATATGTGATTTTATTGAAGAAAAATCTAATAGGTGTGACCAGTTTATATTAATAAGGGACACATTTTTGGTAACTGGGAAAAGTTTCGGCTTCCATCAAATAGTTGAAATTTTCACCAGATTTATCTGCATATGTGTTTTTTCTTGAAATCTCTTTTATGCTGACATTGCCACTTCAGCACAAGCATGTGAAACCAATAGTTGATCATTATAAAGAACAGTCAAAGCATGATTGTTCATATAGCCTGAAAAGGGAAATGTAGTTTTACACACAGGAAAAGCTAAAAGGAATCAAACGTGATTTCCTGCACACCCCACATTAGGATAGAGTTATATCCAAACCATCTTAAAGGCAGGCAGACTTAAATATAAATAAATAATCTCTATAGATGGTGTCTTCATTTTTATTGAAAATTCTACTTAATTTTGCTTAATATACTTTATCAGAAGGATATTACTTTTGGTTGGTGTATCTATAAATTAATTAAGGCATTTAGCTTCTATTTTCACTTTCAGTCATATGAAATTATTTCTTCACTCAAAGTAATTAAGTCGGATTCTACCCTGAAACCTCCCTCTACACTTTTTCTTCTTTTACTTTTAATCATTCCAAAAACATCATTACATCTCTTTCACTTAATATCCAGGTTGCTTCTAAAATTACTCGTATCTGTCCATATATGTTCAGTATTGCTCCTGCACATACGTCAATGTAATTGTTTCAAGTTCTATAATATTATCATATTTACTATTTCCCATTATAACACTAATAAATGCTTTTATTTATTTAAACAAAGTGATTTTCCCGAAGACAACTGTATAAAAAACAGAGGAACTAGGTTTCTTAAAGTCAAGGAATATTCCTATAGAATATTGATTTTTACTCATTTCTAATTATAGTACATGTAGGTGCTTTTCATTAATACATTAATGTTAGTGTTTTTAAAAAGTAATTCTTTTTATCAATAAAATGCAAAATATTATTCTGTATATAATTGCATCCACTAGGGTATTTGCACTAGTGTGGCATCCCGAAATATTTTTTTGGATATGAAAGACTAAGACAAGACTTAGTCAAGAAATTATGTATTTAGTCGAAACTTCTTCTCAAGGATGTTTTTCATTTGGACAATTAAAGAAATCAGAATGTTAGGTATCAAAAAGCCATCTTCTACATTGTTGCCTCAGTGTTGAACAAAATTCCAAATCTGACCCATTTTTGTGCTTAAAAATATACCAAAATCCATTCCTTATGTCATAAAAAAGCATAACATCTTTCACTCACATACTCAATACATTCATATTGTCCCCTACCGTATTATCAGATCTACTACATCTCTTTTAGATATTAAAGACCCAGAAATAAACAGTGATTGTCTCTATTTTAAAGAGCAGGTTAGGTAAAATGGTTTCAAGTGTTATGAAAGCTGTAAGATTTGAAAGACAGAAAGAAATTTGGAAGTGGTTAAAGAAGCCCTAGACGAAAAATATCTTGTTATTTGAAGAGTGAAAGAAAGTAGATTTCTTCCAGGCAGAGAGAAGAACAAATAAAAACTTCAGTGTATAACTAGGCTCTCTGGGTTCAATGAGCAGAAAGCTGTTCTGTTTTCTTGGGACTTGGTGAACCTCTTTGAAACAGAGCGAAGTGAAGTCAAAAAGACCATCTAGCACTGCCTGACGCGAGCCGAGCCGGAGCCCGCCCGACCCTGAGTGGCGCCGGGCCCGACATGGGGCTCCTGGGTCGCGGTGGTGGGCGGGCGATGCTCCAGCGGCCTGACCAGCCATGGAGGCCAAGGCAGGCGGCCCGGAGGAGGTGACGGACGAGGAGATAGTGCGGCGCCTGCGGAGGGAGGAGGCGGCGCGCCTGGTGGCACTGGTGCAGCGTGGCCGCCTCATGCAGGCGGTGAATCGGCAGCTGCAGGGCCACCTGGGCGAGATCCGCGAACTCAAGCAGCTCAGCCGGCCTCTGCAGGCAGAAAACCGTGAGCTGCGCGACCTCTGCTGCTTCCTGGACGCGGACCGCCAGCGCGGGCGGCGCGCCGCGCGCCAGTGGCAGCTCGTCGGGACCCAAGTATCCCGGGCAGTGCCCGAGGACCTGGGCGGCTGCTGGGAGAAGCTGGCCGAGCTGGAGGGCCGCTCGGAGGAGCTGCTGCGGGAGAACCTGGCGCTTAAGGAGCTCTGCCTGGCGCTGGGCGAAGAACGGGGCGCCGGCGGCGGCCCCGGCAGCGCTGGGGGCTCAGGTGCCGGGCCAGCACCCGAGCTTGCCCTGCCCCCGTGTGGGCCCCGCGACCTAGGCGATGGAAGCTCCAGCACCGGCAGCGTGGGCAGTCCGGATCAGTTGCCACTGGCCTGTTCCCCCCGATGACTGAAGGCACTGCCTCCTCCACGCTGATGCCCGCCTGGATTGCTCCCGGAGCCCCGGGACCGCTGTGGACCTCGGGACCTGGACGCCGTCCTGGCTGCCCAAGAGGGGCCGCTGGCATGGACTAAGAAATCCTGATACCGAGAAGGGCCCCTCGCTCTTGCTGGCAGGGCAGCAGGGGGACTGAAGGCTGGAGCGGAGGGACTTGCTGGGGGTTGGATTGGGGGTAATAAACCCGTAGGGAAGCGGGGAAAAAAAAAAAAAAAAAAAGACCATCTAGAAACCTTTCAAGATTATTTGTTCCATGGGATTGACTTTACATCCTATATTTAATAGAGAAATGTGGAGGCTTTTATCTTTGAGACAGAGTTTCGCTCTTTTTAAGCAAGTAAGTTATATGATCTGATAATATTTGAAAATATGAAACCAGCTTTTCATGAATAAAAGATTGTACAGGGACAAGAAAACCTGTAGATAGACTGGTTAGGATAACAGTGAGATACTAAGTAAGAGATAGGGTGCTTTGAGCAAAAATCATGGAAGTTAAGATGGAGAAAATTACCTAAATCATGTCATATGATAGTGATATATTCAACTGCACTTGAGAATGGATTGCACAGAACAATGAAATGAATAGATAATTATGTGATAGGTCTTTAACTTGATGAATTAGTTCCATTACTGTGCTTTTTACTCGATTGGCAAACAGGGAAAGGAAAGTAAGGAGCATCATAGCATTCATTATTTTAAATTCAAAGAGTCTATGTTATGTGTTTTTCTGTTTTCTCTACTGAGTATTAGACCATGTCCTGGCTGGCTTGATCAAAATTAAAATGGAAGGAAAGCTGGTTGTATATATATGACAGAAAATATTTTAATCATAGTTATAAGGTAAAATCCAAATGGATAAGAGAACTTCCTAGCAGCTGAAAATGAGAATTCAGGACTTTCTGCTGAGTACGTTGGGGAAAATTTTAAATGTTGGTTGTAGCACTGGGGGAACAAGAGAGATAACTGAAAGCCATGTCTATCCAAACCATGTGGGTTCTTCATCACAGGTGGATCTTTGCCTCACTTGTCTTAGATTAGTTAGTAAAACAAAAGGAAGATATCTCAGTCCCCACTTTAGTCTCCGCAGCCCCCACACCAAAAATCCAGAATGTTTCTGATGTTTTCATCATGTCTACGATCCAAACATAGTGCCTACTATATACCCCAAAGTGTTCAAACTGCAAGAACAAAGATCAGTGTCCATGAATACATTATTAGTAAAAAACAAAACAAAACTTATTTTTATATCATGTTCTACTGCTGGGCAAGTTTGCCAATGCTTTGTAGGATCTTCCTATTAAGCAAAGAAGAGACTTAAGGAATGTACTATTTTCTGTTTTTCAGATAAAGCATCTGAAGCTCAGAGGTGATGCCCAAAGTTACAAAGCATAGCTGCAAACTAGCAGAGTCAGGCTCAAATAGATATTTTCAGATTTCAAGTACATCAATCATCAGACTTTACTCTACATCACCCCCTACCTTGGAGAATAAAATAGTTATGCAGGATTGCATAACTTGACCTCATTAGAACAAGAAACTCTCTCTGTCTTACAGACACTCTTATCCAGGGGTTGCATTCACTGTAGGCTGCTAAAGGCTGCATCAGCTCACCTCACAAGCCAATCATTCATAAAAACTTTGAACTCAAAAAATGTCAGGGACTTCACTACCTTGAACACAGGTTATGGATATATTTCATTACTCAAAAATTGTTACTCAAGATTAAAAATCTGAACATAAGTATCATCATTTTCAGCATTATCAGGCTTTATGTCTTTAAATATTATTTACAGAAAAAACACTGCTTAATTTTCTTTCTTTAAAGTCATATATACCATTGAATTTTGAAGTAGCTCAGTTTTAGTCAAAATCGCACTGACACAATTATTTCTCATGGGGTTAGCATGGCCCTATGGCCCTCTCTCTTTTACAAGTATGAAGCAAATTTCCATAAAATGCCATTGGCATCCCTCTAAGGTTTCAAATTCACATGAGGAATTGGAAGGCAAAAATTGCTCCAAATGTTTTAAGCTTAGAAAATTGAATGGAAACATAGAATGAAATTAAAGTCATTCCATCCTTTGTGATCATGTGAACATTATTTTTCAACTTTCTGATTTTTGAATTTTGAGGCAAACAGAGGATGTCAGTGTAGTGGCTCTAAGTTAGCAAAGAGAGGAATGGTATCAAATAACATGACAAACAGCTAGAAGCTGAACTCCTTTTGGCTTCTGACGAGGAGCTTTAATTTTATTCTAGGACTAAGTAGGCTAGTTAGAAAAAGTTAAGATAATTTGAATGATTTGATAATTTGATTGTTAGTACTCATTGGAGACATCAGTAAGGATTGTTTGAGTTAGTGGTCTGGAAAGTATGAAATTCAGATTGCAGTGGGTTGACCTGTGACAAAATATATGGCAAGAGACAAAGCAGGTGTAGGAAACTCTTGGATATACATTTTTGTATGAGTGTGTGTACAGAATGCCCCAAAATTTAGAAACTACAAGTGACATAAGTCAAGGAAAAAATAAAATTCTGCATCTATTTGAGTGTGTGTGCTGAAACCAGAGATACTAAAACATGTACTGGGGAATTATCTGCTGTAGAGAAAGTATTGATTTAAAAAATACAAATTAGTCTATGAGAGGTGAGAAGATCTGAAATTTGAAAGTAAGGGAATATCATTAAAGAAAGGTACAGGCACAATGGAAAGAATTTGCTGATATACTTTCACACTGTTACCAGAATAGAATATAAAGTTTTTTCACTAGATGTTTCATAACACCCATTTCACATCATAGTCTGAATAGAAACATTGGAAACAGTCAATCCAGATTTCACATCACATTCAGGTAATAAGTACTGAATCTGTTGCAAATTGCTTTCAATTAATTTCATTTTTTTGTTTCTTCTTTCTGAACTGTTCCCTATCCCCAGCAGTGATGTCTAATTGGCCAGAGCTTTTCCTTCTGGGTCTGTCTGAGACCTATGCCCAGAGAAGTCCTCAGGCTCTCTACTTACTCATATCTCATTTTGTTAACCATTTCATTTGTTTAGAATGAGTTATAGAATATTGCTTGAAACTAATTACTGTAATGAGATTATCAGATTTTTCTGAGTTAATACATTACCCATTCAATGCTTAAAATATGCTTTCTAAAATCAAGGTCTTATGTAAAAATATACAGATTTAAAGGCAAAGGTTTCCTAATACATAAAAATTAGAAGTCTTCATTAGGAAGAAAGCTCATCTTCCCTCAGATGACTAAATGATGATGGATTTCTGTGTTTTTTTTTTTTTTTTTTTTTTTTTTTGAGACGGAGTCTGGCTCTGTCGCCCAGCCTGGAGTGCAGTGGCAGGATCTCAGCTCACTGCAAGCTCCGCCTTCCAGGTTCACGCCATTCTCCGGCCTCAGCCTCCCAAGTAGCTGGACTACAGGCACCGCCACCTCGCCCGGCTAATTTTTTGTATTTTTTTAGTAGAGACAGGGTTTCACCGGGTTAGTCAGGATGGTCTCGATCTCTTGACCTTGTGATCCGCCCGTCTCGGCCTCCCAAAGTGCTGGGATTACAGGCTTGAGCCACCGCGCCCGGCCATGATGATGGATTTCTAAATTTGATTTGTGTATAGATTTAATGCTTAATTTAATACTCTGGAAAATAAGTGTTTGTAGAGTGGTATAAAAAAGGGGGACATTGGGCTGGGCAGGGTGGCTCACGCCTGTAATCCCAGCACTTTGGGAGGCCGAAGCGGGAGGATCACAAGGTCAGGAGATCGAGACCATCCTGGCTAACACGGTGAAACTCCGTCTCCACTAAAAATACAAAAAATTAGCCGGGCGAGGTGGCAGGCGCCTGTAGGCCCATCTACTTGGGAGGCTGAGGCAGGAGAATAGCGTGAAGCCGGGAGGCGGAGCTTGCAGTGAGCCATGATCTCGCCACTGCACTCCAGCCTGGGCCACACAGTAAGACTGCGTCTCAAAAAAAAAAAAAAAGAATAGAAAAGAAAAGAAAAAGAAAGTGGGAGGCCATTGTTGGAAAACACAAACCATTCTAAAGACAGTCATAAATTCCTTATCTATTGAGAATCACATAGAAAATGTTTTAAATATGATTAGGTACTTTAGTAATGGATTGAAGGATTTCATCATTAAATTTTACAAGATTAATGGGAAAATACATGAAAATCAATAATACATAATTAAAAATTTATCTGCGGTTAAAATGTATTTAGATATTCAGGCCAATATTTAATATTCCTTTAACAGAAATTCATATATAGGTTTTATATATATATATATCCTACATAATTGTATACTATGTACTATAATTACTTATATATAATTATGGAATATATATCCTCATATTTAATTTATGTAAATATATACTCTATATTCACTTATATATAATTATGGAATATATATATATCTCCTACACAATTTTATACAAATACATAGTATGTTTCTCTTATGTGTATGTAGTGTGTGTGTATGTACACACAATACAAATAAATTTACATAATGTATGTGGACCATATATTTATTTCACTATATTTCGTGTTAACATTTAGTATGTTTGTTTTAATTTGGTAAGAGCTTCAATAAAGTATACACTTTGCAGAAGTATAATGGGAAATAATTCAATTACTTAATTTTGGGAATATATAAAGATGAAAGTTAACATTTTTTCCAACAATAGTAGAAGGATCATTAAGGAAACACAATTTCCTCAAGCAAGAGTTGGAAATTAAGACCTATGGGATGGGCAAACTATGTCAATTACATACTGATTCTATTAGTGTTTAGCTTTGGGCATTACTTGAAAATTTTCTCTATTGCTATCAATATCTTATTGCAAATGTCCTAAAAGCTTGTTCCTATTTATCATCATACTTGCATATGTGCCATCAACATCATATGATAAAGCTTTGAAAACCACTCTATCCTGATGTA